GGCGATCGCCGTGGATAAAGGAGTCGAGAGGGAAAAAGGGTTGGATGAGGACAGAATGAGGAGGGACGGGGGAAAAAAACAGTAAGTCTGTAGTGATAGTCAAAAAAGAAAGAGAAAAAACTAATTTGCCACAATGAAGGTAACTTTTACACCAGTTCCTTAATCTGAAAATTCGTAATTAAAGGAAAGAATTTACCCTCTTTTTAGGAAGGATTGCGGTTTATTCGTAGTTGATAAGGGAAAACTTTTTTAAGAGTTCCACCTGATAAATGTAGAAGAAATGAAAGGGTTAGAAAATCACCATTCATTCTGCAACCCAGAATGAAATAATGGATTCAGGCAAGCATCATAAATCATCAAAACTTTAACCAAAAGGTTGTTAGGGAACAGGATATTATCATAGTGCCAATCAGCACCACAGATTATTTGCAAATTGCACAGAAAAAAAACCAAAATGAAGAGAGGTGATAGTCAACATCTTACCCAGGTGATCAAACAGCATCACTAATAGTAGGACAACTTTGACGTGTGTTTCTTAATGAGACGCAATAAGAAGTATGTAGCATCATCTATTAATTATTGTCAAAGTGTTTAATCTTAATCTAATCAAACCTTTAGACCGAACTTTCGACTTACAGGAAATTTATAAGGGATAAAGGAACAAGTTAAACATATCACACTACAAGGAGATAATGAGCAAATCCAGAATGAGGGACAGTCTATAAGATAATTAGCCTGGTCTCTTCAAAAAGGCAATATATTAGAAAAGAAGGAGGAATTAGAGGAGGAGAAGGAAAATTTTTAAAGACAATAATAATCAAATATAATGTGTAGATCTTGTTTGGATCCTGGGGTTTTTTTTAATTGCATAGAAGATATTTTGGGACGATTGAGGAAATTCAAACGAGAATGGAATATTTGCTAATATTAGGAAGTATTGTTAATTTTCTAAATGGTAACAATGGAATTGTGGTTATGTAGAAGAAATACTATTAAGAAGTGCCTGATGAAATATTTAAGGATAAAGGGTTATGATATCTGCAACATTATCAAATGGTTCATATAGTTATATCAATAAAGCAAATATGGTAAAATTTTAGCAATTATTGAATGTAGGTGGTAGATTTATGGGTGATCATTTTACTGTTCTTTAAACATTTAAAAAATAACTTTCATAATAAAAATTGTAAAAAATATGATGTGGAATGGAACCAGATCGGCAAAATATTGATAATTACTGAAACTAAGTGCTGGCAATATAAGAGTTAATTAAACTGCTTTCTCTATGCTTGTGTCTATCTATAAATTTCCACATTCAAACAAACAAACAAACAAACAAACCCACAAAATAAAGAGAAATTGAAAGACAGCACATACAGGGTTATTATTGAACCTTGTTCAAATCCTTCGGGCATGGGTTCTGGCCTTAATATTAGTCAGGTTTTGTTGGGCAACCCAATTTAGTGGAGTCATCTGAAGAGGGATAGCTTCCTAAAGTGTAAATAAGACTTGGGGATGCCAATGCCCCCACCCCCAACCCCACCCCAAATGAGGGAGCGAACATTAGGAACAATGTGAAATAGAAATAAAAAGAAGTCTGTCGTTTGACAAAGGCAAGGGGCTGATCAAATACTGAAAGAAAGGAAACGAAGTAGGACAGTGTTAGAACACCCAGAAAAAACCAAACTAAGGAGCTAGCTTTCTGTGTGGCTTGAGCTTAACGTCAGATTAATCTCAAGATATTACACTTGGGTCATTTATACTCCAGGGATTCGAAGAGCTAGGGTGAAAGTGAGTGGCTATTCATGAAATCATCCCTAATGTGGGAGACAAAACAAAAATCAAAAGTTGATAAAATAATGTCATCCTCTACTAACAATAACATGGCTTCTATTGGAGCTGGCCTACAGAGAAAGATGCAGTACACCTAATAGCATAGCTGATAATTTTATGAATCAACAAATTCTTCTCTGAAGGGGAATTAAGCTAGTCAAGTGAGTGAACTTGCCTAGGACCACAAAGCAACCTGATATGGGGAGATGTTTCCAAAAAGGAAGCAAACTAAAGGCTCATCCCATGACTGGCAGTCTCCAAAAATAGTGTCAATTTGTGTTTTAGATCTCATGGATTTCCTATCCTTTCCAATCTCAGTTGTGTGGAAATCTTGCTATACCTAGTTCCTAGTAAGATGAGAATGGCAGAATCCCAGATCCTTTCATGGACACAGGGTGGTAAAGGCATAAGATAAAAACATTTGAGAACCATTATCTTTAGAATCTTAAACTGGTGCACAAAACAGAGGGCGCAAACCCAGTGGTCTCAGGAGCTAGGGAAGTAATATAATTGGGAGAAGATGGCCTAAATGAAGGCAACAGGAAGATGAAAGGACAATGAGAGGACTGGAAAGTACAGAACCCATCTATAAGGAATGACCACTACTCAAGCCATATTTCTGCCTTTAGAAATGTGGGTTCACAGTTGCTAAAGTTTCCAGCTTGAAATCTGAACCTTTATTGAAAAGTCTGATATCAAGCACAGAAATAAATAAATAAATAAAAGTCTCAAATCCAGACATTGCATGGACATCCAATGTCTAACCTCTGGCAAGCATATATGTACCAAAATGTTCACTGCAGCAGTTAAGTGTATAGCGAGATCAGAAACAATCTAAAATTCCAGCAATAAAAGATTGGTTGAATAAACTGAATGCTGTTAAAACAATGTTATCTAAATACACACATACATACACACACATGCACAGACACATACATATACTGATATGGAATCAACTCCAGGATAGATAAATGAGAAAATGTTAAGTCCAAAAGAGGGCCTGTACTATGCTCCTATTTGATATAAAGTGGGAGTGGAGGGCAACAATGTGACGTAGAAATAAAAGGGCGTGGTGGGGATGCGACTTAACTATACCAAATAGCTCTGTAAGTTTACAAAAGAATCTGGCAGTCCTCATTGCCTTTGGGGAGGAAGCTGGGAATCTGAAATGAGAGAACTTTACTTTTTACTGAACATCCTATTAAAAATGTTACAATTTTTCCCAAGTACATGTATTACTTTCAGCTTTTAAAAAGTAATAAACTTTTGCGAAACAATAACAAAACAACAGTAGCAAGGAGCTCTGTGTGTGACTTAGAAATGCCAGGAAGAGATGTGCTCTCTACCATTAAGAGTAGCGGGGAAAAAATCAGGGGATTTTCTCCCTCATTTTCTTTGTATTTCCCTCCTGTAGCCCCTTGTCATTGTCTCTCATTTCTGGTTTGTTTGTTACTGTTTGTTTTTCTTCACTTCACAATCCCCCTGTGCCCATATCTCCCTTCTTCTCAAAAAGGAAAAGCTGATGAACATTTGAAAACAGAGTGATTGGAAAGAAACATTAGAATGGCCCCCAAATCCAGGATACCAGAAAAGCAGGCCTTGCCTTAGGATTTCCTAATAAAATTAGAAGCTATCTCTACAATATAGGACTACTTCAAGCATTTATTTCATATAATCCACCCAGGAACAAGCCATAGATGTAATACAGCCAACTAAAAACTCTCCTTCTCTGTTCTTCAAGCCTCACACTCAGTCCCCAAGCCCTGTGGATCCCACTTCATAAACCTCTCTCAAGCCCACTCCCTTCTCTAGCCCCATCTCCCCCACCTCAGCCTCATTTGCTGCTTTTAGGCTCCTGAACAAGAACTTGGGCTCAGAAATTCCTGAACTTTCATCCTACACCTTTTACAACTCTGAGCTTCTGTAAAACTTCTTCTGCCAGGAATCCATTGGGTTAGAGCACAGACTCGAGCCACACTGCCTGAGCTCAACAAATGGACTCCACTTCCCAGCAGCCTTGGAGTTAGTGCAGTCATAAAGTTTTCTTCATCTACCAAATGAGATTAATAGTACCTACCTCATAAGAGTTACTGTAAAGATTACGTTACTGTAAAGATTACGTTAAAAAATGTAAAGCACTCAAAATGTCTGGCACATAATAAGCTGATATTATTTACCAACTGGGAAACACCTATCATCCTGAGACCCACCCAGACCTAGCTCATTTTCCCAGTGGCACTGTCTCTGTCCTCCCATTGCTTGAGCCATGTTTCTATTGTGGTCCTTTTTATTGTGCTATAATAACCTATTCATATGTCTGTCTGCTCCATTAGATCTTGTAGGTCATGAAGGGCAGGACTGTCTTATTCATCTTTGTAGCTTTAGCACCCAGAATACAGTATTTCCTTAATAAACAATTTCCCAAGAAATCATCTTAGCCCAACTGGGATACCAGTGATTTCCAAACATGCTATGGAGCTTTTTGACCTTGTACCAAGCACATGCCTTTCCCAGCTTCTCTCTGCCATCCACTTGGTAAACCCATTCTATCATTTTTTCCACTTACACTTTTCATACTCAAAGCCCAAGAAGTGGTTGATATGTCACTTTTCCTTTGAAGTCATCTCTGACTCCTCCTCTTCCCAGTTATTTCTAGGTTTATATCCCTCTAGGATTTTATTAAATACCTGTCTTTATTAATTAGTTCTCTTAGATATCTTTTTTCTCTACTTGACTGATCTTTGAGAACCTGATGTGTAGCACCGTGCATGGCCCATGGTGAACCAAAGGCCCTCAATTCCAGCTGTGCAGCAGAATCATCCAGTTTCTTAAAAAGAGTCTTGTTCAATAGAGTTGGGGCAAAGTCCTAAATTACTCTACAACAGCTGTTGGGCAGCCGAGATTGAGAACTTCTGTAGCAGATAAGAAAACTTATGCTAAACACCTGTGTTCATTAAAGCAAAGACAGTAAAGATTCATTCCACTAAGCATGAACCAATTCTGAAGGTTCTTTCCACTTAAGAAACATAGGGACAGTATGGTGTTGTCCTCGCTGATGCTCTGATTCATTACTATAAAACTGATACACTTTAAAGGGTCTGTGGAAGGGCAGCAATTGTAGAAGAATGTGCTGGGCCTAACCAAGGTAATGGCACAGGTGAACAGAGACCAGGAGAAATAGCTTTATTTGGACTGAGAGTTAGAGAATGAAGGGAGGACTTGAGTTAGCATACTGAGCTAAGGAGTAGAGATTAAGTTCCAAAAATGGCAGTCAAAACTCATCAACAAATGGACTCCACTTCCCAGCAGCCTTGGAGTTAGTGCAATCATTAAAGGTCTGCTGGGAAATGGACCTGGCACTAAATCACCCAAGTGTGCAATAATTACCAAGAGAGGTACAGATCGATGTTTGCTTTCTTCCCATAATTAATTTTTCACCACACCTCCCCAACCACAAGTATTACAAAAGAAAGTACAAAATATCGTTCTATAGATCTTAGACTTGTCTTCAGCGTTTAGCTCAAAGGTCTCACTATTTTCAAAAAACATTTCTCTTGCAAAACTTATCAGCTAAAAGTTCTAACCGAGCAGTGAGGAGATAGCCTTTACTAACCCATGACAACCTTTTCCCATTTTCCCTATGCTGAACAGCAGAGTGAGGCTCAGATTAGGGGAGGGCAGGGTAGAAGGACACAAGGGTTAATTTCCCCCAGTGCAAGATGGCATCTGAAGCTTGATGGGAGAGTAGAACTGGAGAGACTTGAGGGAAGGGTCCAGGCCCTGTATTCAGTCAGAGTCACTGCTGGAAGAGGAAGAGGAGGAAGAATGCTGCAAGGGGAAAGGGGAAAGGAGATAGCATCAGATCCAAATGACCTTTGTTCACTCCATGAGACATTCTTTGGTGCCCTACCCCTCTACCCAAGTACTTAAGAAGGTCAGGAGCCTTGAACCAGACTGTCTCTTACACAGCAAAAGCAAGGATTTCCTTCAGCAGTGAATATACGGGAATGGATTAAACCATCCTAACTCGTTGTACAGAATTTAACATAATACATTTGGAGCAAGTCTCCAGCTTTCTTTACCAGAGCCAATGCCCAGACAAGGAATAAATTATAGGCACAAGCATAGTATAGTGCTAGGAAACAGCTGCTACCTTATAAATGCTTATTGTTTATCTGCATGGAAAGTTCCTATTGGCTATGAATCTAAGAAAAGTGAGTAGAAACAGCACGTGTGTGTACATCTATCACTACTTTTTCCTAAGCCTCAATTGGGACAAAGTGAGTAAGGAGGGAAAGAAGGCTGGGAGACTCCTAGTCAAAGTTCTTAACTTGCATACTCCCATCAACAACTGTCATTAAAAACATTTTTGAGACTCTCCAGGGTAATTTCTCCCCCATTCAATCTCACCTTTCCTTCTCCTCAGGTTTCTACCAAGGATCCAGAACCAGGAATTAGTGCCCAAAGCCAAAAGGCAAATAAATATGAGGCAAAAAAATGTAAACTGAGGCCTCAAGATCCAAGTTTGTTCCATCCTTGCAGAGTTGTCCTGACACCTACTTTTACCCTTGCTAATTAACACTCCTCTAGAACGAGGATACTTAGCCTTGGGGCTGAGCATGAAACTTAGGTTTTGTTTGAGGCTGAGAATCACACTGATTGCTC